TTCGCGTTTTTTTTTTTTTTCTGTTTTCGATGCAGTTGAAATTGGAATGGGGGGAATTGTAAGGTGTGGAGCGTGTAAGTACACAATTTCTTCGGTGGATCGTGGCCGTTAGATTAGTGTAACAGTGTGGAAGTATTGACTTCTTTTTCTTTCTTAAATTCGAAATATGTTGAAAATAAAATACGTAGAAGTTTTTTAACAATCAAAGTTATAAATTATCCCACTAAGAAAAATATGAAGCAGATTGAAACTCTACTACAATAACAACAGCTCAATTCCATTTTGTGGTCAATTATTTGAATCTTCTATTTTTATATTTTTCATTCAAATATGTCGCAATTTAATAATAAAAAAAGCTAATATCATAAAATCTACCATTCATATTTCTAAACTATAACGCAAAGTCTATTAGATCTACCGCCATATCGAGATTATACACCAGTGAGTGTGAAAAAGGAAGAAAAAAATACTCCATAGTTTACACAACTGGCCACCTGATATTGGAGGGTCTATTGGAAATGGATTTGGTACTGAAATTCAATTCTCAAGTCCATAATGTATTGGTGGAAAAAGACATGACACGTGGGCGATAAACAAGCTGACGGAGCATGATACTTGGAACATTGATATAAGGACAAGTAGCGTTCTTAATTAGACGAGTTAAAGAATGCGGAAAAGGCACGGGAGAAGCATCCACGGGGTTATGCTGAGGAAAAAACCCGGACCTGACAGCTGTAAAAAGAGAAATAGGAACGAAATAAATAAAGGCTGTAAAGAAAGAAAGATACACGAACCTGTCATAAATAAGGAAGGGAAATCAATGCAGTTACAAGGTATTTTTAGTCATAAATGTTTCCGTTACAGTTGAACTTGGTAACAGACAATCAATGCAATTAATACCATTAGTGAGCCCAAATTAAGTAAGGGAACCGTTATAATTGTATGCTCATATTCCTATATAAGGACTGAAATCTCATTTGTAATGGCAAGTAACAATTATTATTGAAATCCATACAGTTATTCTTCGCTTTACTCTCAAAGCTCTAAGTCGTAATTTTGGGAGTGATTATTAGTTCATTTCTTATTCTCTTTGTCAATTATTTTCATTCCTTGATCTATTCTTCCAAATTATTGTGAAAATAAAGTAAATCTTATTTATCAGTAATCTGATTTTTTCTAGATATTAACTTTGACCAAAAAATCTATTTTTAGATTAAACAAATGGTTCTGTTACCGGGAATCTGATAGTCTGTTCACTTTCCAATCTTTAGCGATCAAATATGTCAACCGTTAACGATAACAACCAGCTGAACCAACAAGGTCCAACTCCACCACACCACACACCTACAGGATCCCCTCATCAGTCCCGTGGAAGTTCGCCTGAAAGTTCCACTTCACGCGTTGATGATCTAAACGACCAAACCGTGGAGCAAGACGCTCTAAAGCAATTGATTGCGGAACGCGTGAATAGTGCGCTACAAGCTTTTGTTAGAGGATTAATCAATACGGCGCAAACTCCTCCACCAGTTAATACAACGACTTTGGAGAACCCACATTCGGTGCTTGATAATTCTAGAAGTGGAGAAAATCCTAATGAATCTCGTGATGGAGGGTCGGGTACTCTAAATAATTCTAGTTTACAAAGTTTAGTGCTAACTTTACAGAAATAGTTGAAGGAACAGAATGATCGTATAGAGTAGATACCAGGCGTACCACCCATAATCAAAGGGGTGGATATTGACAAGTATTCACAATATCCCTAGAAGCCAAGTGTGATGCCTTTACCAATTCCTAAAAAGTTTAAAATGCCTGATATTCCCAAATATAATGGAACAACTAACCCTCGAGATCACGTAACTGTGTTCACTATTGGCGTGAAAGGCAATGACTTAACCAAACAGGAAATCAAATCGATTTTGGTTGAAAAGTTTTGTGAAACACTCACAAAGGGAGCGTTAGCGTGGTATTCTCTTTTACCCAAAAAATATATAGATTCTTTTACTGAGCTTGCAGAGTCATTTATAAAAGTACATTCGGGAGCTCAAAAAGTTGATAAAAGGATGAAAGACATCTTTAAAGTTAAACAAGGGAGTATAGAATTGCTTAGGGAATTCATAGATAGATTCCAGTAGGAGAGAATGATGTTACCTCGAGCACCTGATAACTGGGCGGCTATGGCATTCGCGAGCAACTTTAACGAGAAAAGTCCAAAAGCCACGAGGAGGCTGAAATATGTACAACACGTACAATATGAAATTGTGAATAGAAGAAGATACGGTCGCACAACCAAGGGCCGGTGAGAGGCCAGGATCGAGACGTTCAAAATTAGAAAAAAAGTCCAATTAAAACAGGTACGAGCTATACATGGGACCCGCAGGGCGAGACTCTCGATCTAAACAGGAAAGTACACGATTTGATTTAAGACCAAGGCAAAAAGACACGAGCTCTTCATCTTGGTTTAAAAAGGAACAAGATGCCCGAATCAATGCTTCCAATACGCAAGCAAGGATATGAGATTATAGCTTTAACATCAGCACCTCCGGGTTAGTGGCAGTTTTAAGAGGTATGAAGGATAAGGTACGGTGGCCTAAAGAAATGAGAGCAGATCCAAGCAAAAGAAATCCAGATTTCTGGTGCAAATTTCATAACGTTCATGGCCATAGAACAACAGATTGTAGGCTTCTACAAGGAGAGGTCGAGCATTTGTTGAAGCAAGGTTATCTTACTGATCTGTTCAGTGAGAAAGGAAGACAATCATATATGAAGAACAGACAAGAGCCCCCAAAACCTCCATCACCAAAAAGAACAGTCAATGTATAACTGGGGAAGATGAGGTCAATGGAGTAACATATACAACCGCAAAAAAGACATCAAAATCATAGTCGCTCACGGAAAGTGAGTTCGCCAAGTCCTGGATGACGACAGTATAACATTCGATGATGAGGATGCGAACGACTTGATAATTCATCACAACGATGCACTGGTAATATCTTTACTTGTACATGATAGTAACGTAAAATGAGTTTTAATTGATCCAGGTAGCTCAGTAAACATCATTTTCCTGAGGGTGGTGAATGAAAGGCAAGCTAATGATAAGGTCATACCAAAAGTCCGGTCCTTGTCTGGCTTTGATAATTCAAGCGTTATTACAAAAGGGGAAGTTCTACTTACCATATTTGCAGAACATGTTGTCAAGGATACAAATTTCCACGTGATAGAGGCGAATATGACCTATAATATATTTTTGGGAAGACTGTGGATTCATGATATGGATGTTGTCCCTTCCACATTGCATCAACTTATCAAATTTCCTTCACAGTGGGGAATCCATCAAATCCGTGGAGATCAACAAGCTTCAAGAAGTATCAACTCAGTGGTGATCGCAAGCACGGTAGCCAATGATGCAGATGCGAAATAGCAATTACAAAATTTGGTTGAGGACACTGTTACGAAAACCTCAACTAAAGACACGCAAGGACGTCAGACTGATGTCGATTCGAGACCCGATGTTATTCAAGAGCCAGAAGAAAATAAAAATATTAAAACAACTACCGAGGAGCTCGAAGCTGTAATATTATTTGTCCACTAGCCAGACAGAAAAGTTTACATCGGAGCAAATTTAAGCCCAGAAATGAAAGGTAAGTTAATTGAATTTTTACGAGCTAACGCAGATTGTTTTGCTTGGTCGCACTTAGATATGACAGGTATACCACCAGAGGTGATGACTCATAAGCTGAATGAGGATCCGTCACACCCACCTGTTAAGCAGAAGGAAAGGAAGCATGAGTCCTTCAAAAATCAAGTGATCCAGGATGAGGTACAAAAGCTTTTAAAAATTGGTTTAATATGAGAGGTAAAGTACTTTGACTAATTAGCTAATACAGTTGTGGTTCCAAAAAGGAATGAAAAATGGCGAGTTTGCGTAGACTATACCGATTTAAGTAAGGCTTGTCCTAAAGATTCATTTTCTTTACCACATGTAGATCAGTTAATTGACTCTACTGCAGGTCATGAACTGTTAAGTTTTTTAGACGTATATTCAGGTTATAACCAAATAAAAGTGGACCCTCTAGATGAAGAAAAAGCTTCGTTTATCACAGACAGAGGGATTTATTGTTACAAAGTCATGCCATCTGGTTTGAAAAATGCTGGAGGTACATATCAAAGGTTAGTAACTAAAATGTTCCAAGAACAACTAGGAAAAACTACGGAAGTCTACATAGACGACATGTTGGTCAAATCGACATAAGGAGGGGATCATTTTCAACACTTGTCAAACACATTTGAGATTCTCTGCAGTACAACATGAAGTTAAACCCGGAAAAGTGTGCTTTTGGCATGGCTTCAGGTAAGTTTTTAGGTTTTCTTGTTTCTAACAGAGGTATTAAAGTGAATCCCGCACAGATCAAAGTTATTGAGGAGATTCCAGATATACACACAAGCAAGAAAGAAGTACAGAGATTAACATACAGGATATCAGCTTTGGGGAGATTTATATCAAAGTCATCAGAAAAAAGTTTTATATTCTTTTCTGTGTTGAAAAAGCAAAATCAGTTTGAATGGACCAGCGACTACTAGCAAGCTCTCAAGGAACTTAAATCGTATCTATCAAACCCGCCTTTATTGGTCAAACCAAAAGAAAGTAAAAGATTGCTCATTTACCTTGCTATTTCAGAAGTAGCGGTAAGTGCGGTGTTGGTACGAGAAGATCTAAGGTAAATAATCCCCAATTTATTATGTTAGTAAGTCTTTACTAGATGTTAAGACATGGTATCCACACCTAGAAAAGCTTGTGGTAGCATTAATTATGGCATCTAGGAAGTTACGACCTTACTTTCAATGTCATTCTATTTCTGTTATAACTGCTTTCCCCTTAAGAAACATACTGCATAAACAAGAATTATCAAGAAGACTAGCTAAATGGACAATATAACTCAGTGAGTATGATATCATATATCAGCCTAGAATTGCAATAAAATCGCAGGTGTTAGCAGATTTTGTAGCGAATTTTAGCACGAATTTAGTTCCCGAGGCACAGAAAGAACTACAGGTGGTTACCGGAGCTAATCCAGGGCTTGGACCCTGTTTATTAACGGTTCCTCAAATGTTAAAGGAGAGGGTATAGGAATTGTTCTAATTCCACCTTCAGGCAAAGTCATAAAACAAGCAATAAAATATTAGCCAATCACTAACAATGAGGCAGAGTACGAAGCTGCGATTGCAGGCTTGGAATTAGCATGAGAACTTGGTATCAAACAAATTGTGATCAAAAGTACTCGCAACTGGTGGTAAACCAAATGCAAGGGACTTTCGTGGCATGAGAGACACGAACGCAACAATACCTAAAAAAGGTACGAGAATTGATTAGACAATTCCAGACATGGAAAGCCGTGCAAATACCCAGAGAAGAAAATGCAAAAGCAGACGCGTTGGCAAATCTCGTGTCTGTTGCGGATGTAACAAGTGCAGAAAATGCCATTGTGATACATTTGTTTCATTTGGAACTCGATCAAACCAAGAGTGAGGTAAATTTTAATAATTTAACTTGGGATTGGAGAAATAAATTTGTGAACTTTTTGCAGTATGGTATCTTGCCTGAAAATAAGAAGAAGCCACAATTGCTAAGGCATAAAGCTGCTTGGTACTGCTTAATTCGTGAAAATTTGTATCACAAGATGTTTGGTGGACATTTAGCATGGTGCCTCGGTCCATTGTGGTTATCACGCTGGGGGAAGATCGTTGGTGAAAACGTTAATAAGAGCAGGATATTATTGGCCAAAATGGAAGAAGAAGAAGCATAAAATATTGTAGCTAGGTGCGATAAATGTCAATGATATGCCAATAACATGCACCGACCGGCAGAGCTGTTGCATTCAGTTATTTCACCATGACCCTTCATGAAATGGGGCATGGACATCGTAGGGTCGTTGCCTCAAGCTAAAGGAATGGTACGATTTCTGTTAGTTTTAACAAATTATTTTTCAAAATGGGTAGAAGCAGATTCTTTCAAACAGGTGTGGGAAAAAGAAGTCAGGGATTTCATTTGGCGAAACATTATATGTTGATTTGGAGTTCCAACAGAAATTGTTTGTGACAATGGCCCACAGTTCATAGGCGCAAAAATTACAGAATTCTTTCAAAGTTGGCGGAGCAAACGAATTACATTCGCACCTTACCACCCTACGGCCAACGGACAAGCTGAATCGACAAATAAAGTTATTATCAATAACTTAAAGAGTAGATTAGAAGAATCAAAAGGTAAATGGCAAGTATTACCAGGGGTGCTATAGGCTTATCGAACAACTGCAAAAACTAATACAAGAGAGGCTCTATTTTCACTTATGTACTGTGCAGAGGCTTTAATTCCGGTGGAGATAGGTGAACCAAGTACGAGGTACACGCATGCCACTGAAGAGGCAAATAAGGAAGAATTACGGGTAAATTTAGATTTATTTGAAGGATAGAAGCAGCATTCATTCGAATGGTGGCTCAAAAACAGATGATTGAACGATATTACAATAAGAAAGCTAATTTGAGGTACTTCAAGATTGGGGAGTTCATCCTCAAAAAAGGTGTTCCGGTTAACAAAAATGGCCAATGCAGGAAAAGTGAGTCCAAATTGGGAAGGCCCATATAGGGTTTGAGGCATCGCTGGAAAAGGAGCATACGAGTTAAAAACCATGAATGACAAGGTACTACAGTCGAACTGGAATGCGGTCCATTTGAAGAAGTATTACTTCTAGACGAGGAAAATACCCACGGTCAGGTATCGTGCAAGTTCGATTTTATTTTGTTCTTTTGAATTTTACTAACCATTTTAGATGATAGGCAAAAAGCTGGCCAGTACCAAATGATGATATTAAATCCGAAAGACATGCGGAATACTGAATTATTCTCGGTCTAGGTTACAACTTTTCTAATGGGAAAAGGATTATGCAGTTATCATCTAAGAAATTATCTCCAAGTCCCGTTTGTATTGTCCTTTTCAAGGAATGGACCAAAAGAAAGGAGTGATCCAGTGTTCGAGATTTCATACTTTAAAGCTCCAACACTGGAGGGACTATGCATATAAAAGGAAGGAAAAGGAACCAAGGGCATAGATCAGCCTAAATCAAAATCTTGAAGAAATCTTGAAATTTTTTCAAAGGAGTTCGAACTCGCAAAAAGGATGCAAGATATTCCCATGAGTTTTTAGGTTGAGGCCATAAATTTAGTCACGGGATAATAAATCCGAATTTGTAAACCTGCTACAATGAAAACAGTTATGAATGTGTTGTATTAGCAGTTATGAAAATGATGTACGAAATTTATTTGAAAGTTCAAAGCATAAAACTACCTCAAATTATTTCTATTTTCATGTCTGATAACTAGGGATTCTAGTTCATTTTACACTCCGTTTTACTTGAGTTTTGGTTAAAAATATATACAAATAGTCCCAAAGGCTTACATGTTGTGCTTGTTTGCAGGGTTTGGTCGAAAAGGTGACAAGTAGTCAAAACCATCTCAAAAAGGAGTGAAACATGCACAAGTACCAAGAACAAGTCAAAGCACAACTGCAATAGACCCACCGCGACCGCAATCCATTTTGTGCGGTCCGCGGTGAGGAGACTCAGAGAGGTGCAAATTTGGAGCTTAAAGCAGTGCGGTCCGCAGAGGTTCTCTCGCGACCGCAATCCATTTTATGCGGTCTGGTTTTAGAGAGTTGGAAATATGGACAATTGAAGCCAGTGCGGTCCGCGGAGCATTTTATGCGAACCGCAATGAGGCCACCGCGGTGCATTTTGTGCGGCCCACGGTGGCTAGATTTAGAGAGTGAATATTCAATCTAAAAAGCCTCACCGCGGCCGCGGTGCATTTTCTGCGGTTCGTGGTACCTCCATAGGGGTATTTTTGTCTAGAAAATTTGGCCTCGTATAAATACTACTTTTTTAGATTTTTAGGGTATCTAACTTTTAGCTGAACACGTGAAGGCCGTTTTGGACCTATTTTGAGTAATTTCATAGCTAGTTCATCATTGAATCTTTGATTCTTAGCTTGTAAACATATTATATAGGTTACTCTTCATCTAATTATCAATTTTCTTCCATTATTATGAGTAGCTAGACCCATTAGCAAGGGTTGTGGCTCAACCCTAGTGTGAGTATTTGATGGGTCTTGAGTATTAAGGCTTAAATGTTTATGGGTGTTTGACATTTGGATTAATTTGTGTTTTTCATGTTGAAATAGTGGTTGCAAACACTAATTTGTGCCTTTTTGACTTAGGCTCTTCTTGAGAAAGAGAGTTTGAGTCTAGGAAAATTAGTCCAACAAGGAATTGGAGCATGTTCAAGAGATTGATAGCCCCAATTAAAGGGTTAAACCTAGATATAGGAATACCCGACTTGAACCTACATTGCTTGCACAATTTCGATACCCAAT